AGAGTATGGCCCCCAGACACCCTTTTAGCTCAGTGGTGAAGTCATTTCCGAGGTTCACTGTTCAGCCGGGGAGTGGACAGCCCCATAAAACCAAATGGGACTAATGAGGCACAGCAGTCCGGGGACAAGAGCCAGAAGGCAGAAGGGGACAGGAAAGCTGATGATAGGGAACCCAAGGTTGAGTAAGGACAGTGTTGACATGTAGAGGAGTTCTTAACCAATGTCATAGGGCAATATGTGTACTAACTGTTTAATGAGAAACTATTTTGTTCTGTAAACCTTCATCTAAAGTGAGAATAGCTGCACAACTGGAAGAACATAATCGACGTAACTGAATTGTACACGTAGAAATTTTTGAAATGGTGTATCTTTGGCTATGTATATTTTCACCAAAAAAAGAAAAAAAGGTCCTCCAAGGCCGAGAAGGGAGCGTGTTGACATGTCATGGGGTTGTTAACCAATGTCATAAAACAATATGTGTACTGACTGTTTAATGAGAAAATATTTGTTCTGTAAACCTTCACCTAAAGTACAATAAAAAACAAAAACAATGCAGCCCAAATGTCAATACTGTTGCAGTTAAACACCCTGCTCCAGAGTCTGATTTGCTGATCCATGCTATGAGATGAGTGTGGTATAGTGACAATTCTCTACGAGCTTATATGGCTCACTGGATTCTTAATCCAGGGCTCCAACTGCAGCTCTAGGATTTCATTTTCGCAGGAGTGGCAGGCTCCTCAAAATTCAAGGCAGCTAATGCCTGTACTCATTAAACCCCTTGAACAATGAGGTTACTTATGGGTTTTCTCTGGATAGTCAAAGAACTCTCAGTGGTCTCAAAGAGTTCCACGGGGGCTGTCCTAAATTCCTGATTATGGGTACAGATTTCCTTGGCATGCGCTATTATAACCTCTTCCAACATACTTAACAAAAATTTGTTTTTCCTTTATTTATATTTTTTCACCTAGGGAAATAAGTTCAGGAAGCTTTTTCCAGAATTAAGCCAGAGTTGGAGAACCTTTAGAGATGCAAAAGTCAAGTAAGTCAACACCCAGAAAACTGTATGACTGAGAAAAAATGAAGGTCTAAGCCTGGCAGCCTAATGCCTGAGCCTTCTGTAATGATAACATTATATAAGAGGAGTGGACTAGAGAGATGTTTTCAAAACAGAACATAGAGACTGGCCAGGAAGGAGGGGTGAGAGAGAAAAGTTATCAGTAGACATTCTATAATGTTACAAAACACCTTCATTCTTCCTTCCACAACCCAGGTTCAGGTATTAATCATTGCTTACTTGGATTCTGAGAATCGTCTCTACCCTCAAATTCATCCCACCCCTTATTGACAGAGTGAAATATGTTTCACAAAAAACTCTGTTTCTCTTTACCTGCCTAAAACTATTTCATAGTTCATCATCATCCTATGTAAACAAGGCCAAACATGATTGGAGCTCTGCCTTCTTTCAAGATCAAAGATATTAACCTGCAGCATCCCACTCAAGAACTGTGGTTTGACTGCATCTTTATAGCTTACTAAAAGTGAATGATCTCATGAAAAATGAGAAATATTTGGTATACGGCCTATGTGATATATTTGTCTAATAAAATGCTATGATTTTTTTTTGGAAACAATAAAAACTAGTGAATCAGTTTATTAGGTGAAAACTGAGTTTGTTTTTAGTAATAAATGCATTTAAAATTTTTCATCTGACTTCATGTTCTTAAGCTATTAATTACTGCTAAATGACTATATAAATAAAAGACATTAGTGGTAAACAACGATGTTGAGAAGCCTTACATTTCCCTTTGTGTAAGCGTAGACAACACTTGTTGATTCAACTACACTATTTAAAAGAAAAATCAACCACTGCATAGATTCCACCTGCAGGAGGAAAAAAACGCACTATTGTGAAAGGATATTGTGGTTTTCTTGGATGTGTTCAGAGTAAACAGTAGCTCAAGTCATTCTTATCTCACTCTGTACTTACTATCCACTCATTTTTAAACATGCAGCCGTGGTGGCACAGTGGTTAAGAGCTCAGCTGCTAACCAAAATGTTGGTAGTTTAAATCCACCCACCACTCCTTGGAAACCCTGTGGGACAGTTCTACTCTGTCCTATAGGGTCACTTTGAGTTGGAACTGACTCAACAACAATGGGTTTAATCTTTAATGTAAAAGAGGAAAAAATTTTGAGTATCAATGTGCAGCAAGAAACAGCACTGATAATGAGGTTGTTAGTCCAGTCGGTGCTGCACAACTAAATTTCTCTCCAGAGCCCAAAGAGTCCAAAACAGGAACACAAAAGCATGTTATATTCCCCTAGAAGTACTGAGCACACAATTCTTTTTAATTAACATCCATGTCAGATTTGACTCGACCAAATAGTCCTGGGGGAAAAAAAAAACAAAAAAAAAAAGGCAGCTCAGAAAAGCAGCTCTCTGCATAACATTGATACAGAATGGACAGATGGGAATAAATTAAAATAGTGGTAAAAACCCGAAAGAAGAGACTTTTAAAAATTCTGAACACAAGACAGAGAGAAGAGCACAAAGAGAACAACGAAAAGTATAAGAGGGACACAAAAAAGAAAATGAAAGTTAATGCACCACTTAAAAACTTCTTAAGGAACCACAACTGTTACAGTTTAAGAAACCAAATCTCAGCAATACAGAAATCTGACACATCACATCACCTGGCCCAGTGTACCTCAAAGTTGGGTCTGGAGGCCCACTAGGGACGAGATCCTCTTAGGGGGACTGGGAGGTCAGAACTATTTTCCTAATAATACTGCCTTTTTCATTATGTTGACATTTGCACTGATGGTGCAAAAGCAATGGTGGGTAAACCGCTGGCACCTCAGCAGAAATCAAAACAGTGGCACCGAACTGTCCTAGTGGTCACTGTATTCTCCACTGTCACAGGCACACACACAGAATCATTAAAAAAAAAAAAAAAAAAAAAGCCAATTTCACGTAAAACAACTCCTTAATGAAGCAGTAAAAATTATACATATCTTTCTAACATTATGTGCTATGGAATGGGGGTACACACAAAGACTACTGTTAAATATCAAAGCACGACAGCTGTCTCAAAGAAAAGCACCTGCACTATATTGAGCTTCAAGCTCAACCAGCCACTTGTTTTTATGGAACACCATTTGGCTAGAAAGAATGGCTAGCAAACCTTGGTTTTACATACATCAGTATCTGGGCAGACACTTTCTCAAAAATGAACAAAAGTGAGTTTGTCACTTCAAGGAAAGTAACTGATAGTATTTGTTGTCAATGAGAAAATTCGAGTTTTTACCCAGAAGTTGGGACTGCAGAAAACACATATCTGCCATGAAAGCTTGTCCTAATACTTAAAAAACTTACAAATCTATGTAAACAAAAACTTTTTGAGGCCCTAAAGACAATTTTTATGTATATAAATGGGAACTGAGATTAAACAGTCTGAGAACTGTGGACTGAGTCTAAACACTTATTTGATGCTTGAATTCTGAATTGTGTATCTTACACAATATATGGGTTTGGATTACATCCAATACTCTAGTGCAAGGAAGCTCTCTTCTTCCATAGATACACTGCTCTAATGTTACAACTTTAAGAGTCAAAACAGTTCTTCTTTCTAAGAAGTTAAAATATGTCTGTAAATGGAGTACATACTGTTAGTAGTTACCCAACAGCAATCAGCACCTCCTTATTCCAGGATACTTCCACCAGTGAAGCTAGAAAGCCATGTATTTGTTTTCCCAGCATTACACGCAGTAATAGGCGGTCATGACACCCAATACGATCAATGAGAAGTAAGGGGAAAACTGCCAAGGGGCTTCTGTGAAAGCTTTTCCTTTCAGGAAGAAGCCGGAGAAGACAACTCCCCAGAGCTACCTTTTCCGGCTTTCTTCCTGTCTTGAATGGGGATGTCAAGCCTATAGCTAATCAGCTATCCTGTGACTAGAAGGGAACAAACAAAAAGATAAGAACATGGATAGCTAAGCAGCGTGAAAGAAAACAACAGAAAAGCTAGGGACCTGATGACATAATTAGGTAGTGGGAAGAGCCCTGGAACTCCCAATCTGAAGACTTCTAGCTAAATAAAAAACAAATGTCTTTTTGGTTTCATCTACTGCTAGGCAGAGGCATTCCTAACAAACATAACAATTAACTTCCTCATTTGGTCTTAGTTCTGCCTCTACACGCACATTTCATCCAGAAACACTAAGTAACATCATGAAGTCTTCTTTCCTATACAAAGACAAATGCTCCTTCTTCAGAAATGACTGTAGCTTATAAAAGATGTTATATAGAATTCAATATTCTCCATTCCCTAACCTTTAGAGCGGAAATAATGGCCAAGATCTAGTAGTATTAACTATTTACAAGAATATCCAAACACATGAGGAAACCTAAACAGGCATTCAGTAAGTAGACTGAGATGCTATACATCATCACTGGTTTACCACAGTCTTTACCTTCCATAAACAAAATGGTGTTTTCAATGGCAGGTATCATCAGCTACTTCTCTGAAGTCCTTTTAAGGAAATATGGAGCTTGTACACCCAAATTCGTACAAGCACTAAAATGACTGAAGAGTGATAAATGAAGAAGAACTGAAATCTGAAGACATGCCCTACTTCAAAGGGAAATCTCATATTTAGGGCCACCAAATTATTGCTACATGGGAATGAGGGCCTGGAATTGCCAGCTCTTTCAAATTTTGGTGAGAAGTTACAAATCTAGACTACATGTCAAAGCTCCAATACTTGTTTAAATGTTGCCAACAGAATAAACAAACAAAAACAACAAACAGACCTAGGCCGTAAAAGAATATATTTAGGCTTGATCTCCTCTGATAGCATGTCCTCTCCCGTGTAATACTTAAAAACAAACGGCTCCAAAAAATCAGAAACTTTCAGGGTAAATTTCATAGGTATTGCAAAAATTCTCATCCCAGATCTTACCACCAGTGTCAAATGTGGATGAAAGGGCTCCACCATTAATCTACTCACCTCCAGGAGCAGAAGGGTTTCCTGTTCAGTCCATTCTCTTCCAGCACTAGCACCTTTACTCTAAAGAAACAAGATCAGAAATTACTTACTTAGCCTTAAAAGGTTGAAGTAAGGCTTAGTCAGATTCTTTTCTAAGCTCAGCAGATCATTTTAGGAAAACCACAAAGTTAAGTCCCTGAGTAACAGAAATGAAATACTTAAGGAACTTAAACTACCAAGAGAAAGGCTGGTTTAGTGTAAAGATCAAGGACTCATGAACTATATGAATATATTCCTTCTAGTATTTTAATACTAGATAACATCTTTTATAAGCTACAAAGGCATGATGTTCAAACGCTTAGCATAAATAAGCTGTAATATTACAAACATATTAAAATTTTGTTATAATTTAAGAGGAAAGCTTTTTCCAAAATTCAAGAACAAAATATACTACCATTTAAAGTACTCTGATGGGCAACACCTGCCCAAAGGCAAAGATAAGAAGGCAGGAAGGGACAGGAAAACTGGATGAAAGGACACTGACAACCCAGGGTGGAAAGGGAAAGGGAGAGAGTGCTGACACATTGTGGGGATTATAGCCAATGTCACAAAACAGTATGTGTATAAAATTTTTGAATGAAAATGAATGTGTGCTTTGAACTTTCACCTTAAACACAATTTAAATAAAGTACTCTGATGGGTTCTTGCTTCCAACTGCAACAAGTCCATATTTTGTCATTTCTTAACATTTCTTGATTAAAACAATCCCCGCATCTTAGACATCCCTGGGTGGCAAAAATGCTTAAGTGCTGAGCTGCTAACTGAAAGGCTGGTTGTTTGAGTCTACCCAGAGGTGACTCGAAAGAAAGGCCTGGTGATCTACTTCCAAGAAATCAGCCTTTGAAAACCGTTCGGAGCACAGTTTCTACTCTGACACACATGGAGTCATTACAAGTCAGAACTGAATGGAAGGCAACTGGTTTGGGTTTTGTTGTATCTTACCATTAGAGTCCACATCTTGATTACAAATGCAAGTGATTTTCACTCCAAATCACCTTTTCTGCGAGCGTCTTGTATAGCTCACAATTCATGCAAACATGGGAGGAGTATGACAGTTAAGACTGTTTGTGTTGTGTTAAAACTACAATTATCAACTGATCTGTACTTCTTGATTTACGAATCTTGTTCCATTCAGAGATTTGCAGAGGATTCGATGTGTGGTATGCTTGGTATTATTATTTAGCTGTAGATGCTATTAATTCAAAATACATAGTTGTCCCCCGATATCCACAGGGAATTGGTACCAGGAGCGCCTACGGATACCGAAATCCATGGATGCTCAAGTCCCTTTATAAAATAGCGTAATATTTGCATATAACCTACATACATCCTCCTGTATACTTTAAATCATCTCTAGATTAATAATACCCGTCATCATCGTCGTTAGGTGCTGTTGAGTCACTTCCAACTCAGTGATCCTGTGTACAACAGAACAAAACACTGCCTGTCCTGCGCATCCTCACAATTGTTATGCTTGAGCCCACTGTTGCAGCCACTGTCTCAATCCATCTCGTCGAGGTCTTCCTCTTTCTCAATGACCCTGTACTTCACCAAGCATGATGTCCTTCTCCAGGGACTGATCCCTCCCGATAATATGTCCAAAGTATGTGAGACGTAGCCTCGCCATCCTTCCCTAAGGAGCATTCTGGCTGTACTTCTTCCAAAACAGATTTGTTTGTTCTTCTGGCAGTCCATGGCATATTCAATATTCTTTGCCAATACCACAATTCAAAGTCATCAATTCTTCGATCTTCCTTATTCATCGTCCAGCTTTTGCATGCATGTGAGGTTATGGAAAACACCATGGCTTGGGTCAGGGGAACCTGAGTCTTCAAGATCACACCTTTGCTTTTTAACACTTTAAAAAGAGGTCTTTTGCAGTAGATTTGCCCAATGCAATGCATCTTTCGATTTCCTGACTGCTGTTTCCATGGGCACTGACTGTGGATCCAACTGAAATGAAATCCTTGACAATGTCAATCTTTTCTCCATTTATCATGATGTTGCTTATTGGTCCAGTTGCGAGGATTTCTATTTTAAAAATAGGTGTTATACTGTATTGTTTAAGGAATAATGACAAGACGCGAGGTGACAATGCTCAAAAGAGTGCTGGAGAGAGACTTAGGATTTTTGAGATGGTGAGAGGCTACAGCAGGGTATGCCTACACATCATTTCACTTGCATGGATTCAGCGTAGTGCTTGGTGTGCGGCAAATTCAAGTTTTGCTTTTTGGAATTTTCTTTTTCATCCAAATATTTCTGATCTGCAGTTGGTGGAATCCACGGATGCAAAACTTCTGAATACAGAAGGCCAACTGTATACTGTCCATTGAGACTGGAGGAATCCCTGAGACTATTGCCCTGAGATACTTTTTAAACCTTAAAGGGAAACTATCCCTTGAAGTCATCTTTAAATAGCAGTTTAGCTCAATAAGTAAAGACTGTCACCCTTGAGTACTGTACTCTTTTAAAAATTTATCTATATGATATATATTCACCAAATAGACAACAGTTACTCTAAAGCACAGATGAGTAGTTTGGGGGGTAGTGAGACTAAGTTCATGGGACTGAAACAACTAGAGTGGAAACAATGAGAATGCTGACTCAATGCGAAGAACGTAACCAACGTCATCAAACATTAGTGTGTAGAAACCGATGAATGGGAGTGTGTTCTGCTGTGTATACTTCCACCAAAAATACAACAACATATCAAAAAACAACAGCAGCAACAAAGAAGCCCCAGAACATGTCCTACCATAATAGCCCTTTCCACACAAACTCTATTTTGGGAGACAACAATTTAATACATGATGAAAAAGCTTTTATACTCCGTGATTTCCTTGTTTGTGCCATTAAAATTTCTCAATTTAGATGACTCAAATCTCTCTACACATATGCTACACACTGCAAGTAAAAAATTATGATTTGTCAGGTCTCTGTGGCATTTAATTCTGAAATGTTTGTTCATTTTCAACAAATGTATTCAAAAAATTGGTCATTTAACTAGGGAATAAAAAGAGGAACCTAAGCATTGCAGAGTTAGCCCTAAAGCATGATTTTATGAGAATGAGAGGATACATGGCAGCTCTAACTCATAATACACCGCTCTAATCTCTTGACAATTACTTAAGACAACCATAGGTTCTTGTTTAATGAACCAATATCAAAGGTGAATAACAGATTGGAGTCTCAAGAAGAAAATTCACCAGCATTTCATCTCAACTTTGAAGAAGCCAAATCCAAATATAGGGAAGACTTGTACAACCCTGCACAAAGACATAGGTGGCATTTATTAGACAGATCGTCAGCAGCCATTTCCCCACTTCTGAGCCACAAAGTGTGGGAAGGATTTTCTCCATTCCCCCTGGCTTAAGTCAGTTTTCATCTCTTGATAACAACTAGCTCAAAGAAGGTAGTATCATTTTTTTCTTTTCAAAAAACTCTCTCTTTATTTCACTGATTTTCTCTGTTGTTTTTCACTGAATCCGTGCTTATCTTTATTCTTCCTTCTGCTTATTTTGAGTCCAGTTTTTCCTTTTACCAGCTTACTGAAGTGGAAGCTAAGATCTTTGACTTAAGAACATTTTTCGTTTCTAATATAATAATCTGATGCTATCAATTTTCATCAAAGAACGGGTTTACCAGTGCCCTACCAATATTGATATGCTGTGCTTTCATTTTCTTTCAATTCAAAATATGTTCTATTTCCATTCAAAATATGTTCTAATTGTACCTGCTGCTTATTCTTTGAACCCTGGATTATTCAGAAGTTCAATTTCCAAATATTTGTGGTTTTTCCAGTTATATTCCTATTACTGGTTTGTAGTTTAATTTGTTTATGATCAGGAGCATGCTCTGTATGATTTCAATCTTTTACTGAGACTCAAAATTATGGCTCAGAATTGGTTCTATTTTAGTGGCTGTTCCCTGTGAACTTGAAAAGAATATGTTCTCTGCTATTTCACGTGGACTCTTCTAAAAACACCAAATAGGTCTTGATGTAGACCGTGTTGTTCCAAGTCTTTTATGTCCTTATTAATTTTATACTTGTTCTATAGAATACTGAGAAAAGACAGTTAAAATCTCCAATTGTAACTGTGAGTTTGTCTATTTCTCCTTTAAGTTCCAGCAGTTTTTGCTTTATGTGTTTTGAAACTCTTTAATTAGGTACATACACGTTCTTATGTCTTCTTGATTAATTAACCCCTTTATCTTTATGGTGTGCCTCTTTTTTATTCTAGTAAAATAACTTGTTTAGATGTCTACATTTGTCAATATTATTAACAGTGACTCTGGCTTTCTTTTGATTATTTGCATGGTATAACTTTTGCCATTCTTTTACTTTTAAGCTATGTGTGTCTTTATATTAATATTTAAAGTAGGTTCTTTGGAGACATCATATACTTGTCTTTGTCCAATGTGACAATTTCTGCTGCTTAAATGAAGTATTTAGACCATTTATATTCAATGCTATAATCACTACAGTCAGCCATAAGTCTACTATTTTGCTGTTAGTTTCCCATTTTTCTAATCTTTTCAGTTTCTTGTTTCCACCATTTCGTCCTTCCTTTCCTTCTCTTCTTCCTGTTCCATGTTTCCCCTTTGCCTTCCCTCTCTTAAAAAAAAAAAAAAAATCATTCTATTCTATCATATTATTGGCTTATTAGTTATACCTGTTTATAAACAGTTGCTCTAAGATTTACAATACTCATCTCTAACTTGTCACAGTTAATCTTTAAATAATACTTTAGAATTTCACTTTAGTTTAAGAACCTTAACTATATTTCCATTTCCACCTCCTATTCTTTGAGCTATTTTTTTTGTCTTTAACATCTAGTTGCTCTAAACTGAAAAATACAGTTATCATTTTTGCTTTAAATAGTTCATTATCCTTTGAGGGACTAAAAATTGGGAAAAATGTCTTTTATACTGACCCACATGTGGACCCTTTCTGGCACTCTTTATTTTTCTGTGTAGCTCCAGTCCCTTCTTATTATGCTTTGTCAAATTATTACAGTCCACCTTGAATTAGTATTTTTATAACTTTCTAAATAATGCCAGAACCTGGTAACAGTTTAACTCAATTTAACCTCAAGTGTCTTTGTGCTGTTTGTCATTTCCACGTTATGTTGCTGTTAGGTGCTGTTGAGTCAGTTCCAACTCATAGCAACCCTACGTACAACAGAATGAAACACCACCCAGTCCTCTGTCATGCTCATTAATCGCTGCTATGCTTGAGCCCACTGTTGCAGCCACTGTGTCAATGCACCTCGTTAAGCGCCTTCCTCTTTTTCACTGATTCTCTGCTTAACCAAGCATGAGATCCTTCCCCAGGGACTGGTTCCTCCTGATAACATGTCCAAAGTAGGTGAGACAAAGTTTCGCCATCTTCCCTTCTAAGGGGCACTCTGGCTGTACTTCTTCCAAGACAGACTTGTTTGTTCTTCTGACAGTCCACGGCATATTCAATATTCTTCCCCAACACTATAGTTCAAAGGTGTCAACTCTTCTTTGATCTTCCTTATTCGTTGCCCAGCATTCGTGTGCGTATGAGGTGACTGCAAATACCATGGCTTGGGTCAGGCGCACCTTAGTCCTAAAAGTGACATCTTTGCTTTTCCTCATTTTGAGTGTCTTCCAACCTGAGGGGCTCATCTTCCAGTACTATATGAGACAATGTTCTGCAGCTATTCATAAGGTTGTTACTGGTCAATTTTTTCAGAACTATACCACTAGGTCCTTCTTTCTAGTCTGTCTTATTCTGGAAGCTCCACTGAAACCTGTCCACCATGTGTGATTCTGCTGGTATTTGAGATAACGGTGGCATAGCTTCCAGCATCACAGCAACAAGCAAATCACCACAGTATGACAAACTGATAGACGCATGGGGTCTATGTGTTAAAACCCTCCCCCAATGATTATTTTTATTCAGTCAACATTCCTTTTTATTTAACCAAATATTTACCCTTTCCTGTCTTCTTGATTCCTACCTGTAGACGCGTGCTTCCATTTAGAATAATTTCTCTTTATTCTTTACTTTTCTTATAGTGTATGCTAGTGATAAATTCTCTCGTCTTTTGTTTAAAAGATGATTTTTTTGTTGTTGTTGTTAGAAGGTGTACCTTTACTGCACCTTCAATTTTGAGAGGTTTTCCATAGGATATAGAATTCCAGTGTTGACAGTTTTTCTTTCAGCACTTAAAAATGTTATTATATTATCCTCTAGCTTCTATCATTTCTGTTGAAAAGTCAGCCATCAGTGTTACTACTGTTCCTTTCGATTTAATGTATCCTCCCTCCTCCACCAACCCGCCCACTCCCTTTTGGCTGCTTTTAGCAGTTTAAGCATAATGTGCCTGGGTGTGATTTTCTCTGTATCTAAATTTGGGTCTTCTTAGCCTCTTATTTTGTAAAGCCACCGGCTGCTCCTTGGAAACCCTATGGGGCAGTTCTACTCTGTCCTATCCGGTCACAATGAGTTGGAATTGACTCAACAGCAACAGGTTTGGTTTTTTTGGTTTTCATGTGTCTCTTATACTCTGTTCTCTTTGTCTCCTCCCTTACCTACAATTTCTTTTTCTCTTGGTGTTTCAGTTTCAATATATCTACTAACCTTTCTTTGAGTTCACTAATCCTCTGTTCTCCTGTGTTCAGTCTGCTGTTAAGACCACCCAATGAGTTAATTTCAGATATTACTTCAGTTCTAGAGTATTTGAGTGTTTTATACATTCCAGTTAAGTCTCTGTTGAAATTCTCCACCTTTTCCTCTATTTTCTTTAATATGTTAATCAGTTATTTTAAATTACCTGGCTGCTAACCATACTGAAAAAAAAAGGTAAGGTAAGTGATTTTTATTTTATAAAATGCTATCAGAATTGAGAAAGAAGCTCTTCTCCTTCCACTATATAAAATAAATTATGTTTCTTATGGAAATTGATGTATAGAGCCAAAGAGTAACTTGCTGAATTGTAGTCCATGTGGGGCTAGGAAAAAATCCTTACCTTTGCTAAGGTTTTCTTAGAGTAAATGTCAGTACGAAGACCAAAGTTCTGCAAATCAATTGGTTTTTCCTTGTTCTTTTCAGGAAAATTTAACATCTGCTGAGCAGCAGGGACCTGTGAGTCAGATAAATAAATGGCTGTATTAACCTCCACAAAGTCAAGGGGATAGAAGTTTTAAAAAATTATTTAATATAGGCACTTAAAGCACTCCTGCTTTTATACAAAAAAATACTCACACCTCCATGTCACACTTCTAATACAAATTCAACATACAAGAAACATTCTTGGTGCCTCACTAAGTCACAGAGGAGACAGACAACAAATTTTCTTTAATATATTCTTCTATTCCTCAATGAGGGCAATTTATAGCTTAGGTTTGAGTTATCATTCTAATTTAATGCTCTCTAATATAATTTTTATATCTGTTTGATATAATAATCTTTTCAAGAATGTATATATGGACATCCTCTTTCCAAATACCAGGTTAAGTTATAAAATTTTTTAATTTCCATTTACAGGATGTAGGCTGAAGGAAAGGAAGTACACATGAGTGTTTTTGTGGAATCTGCTTGCAATTAATGCCTTGTCATGACAGAAAGATAAACAGAGGTATGAGTATGAAAGTAAATTTATAATTTGATAGGCTAAGGCACAGAATCCTGGATAGGTGGAGGACATTACTTTAACCAGTAAGTATTGTTACGGATACAAACATTTACTGTAGATGAGAAAAACAAAAGAATCAGCTAAGAAATAGCACTGTCTACTGCATTACAATAATAATTATTCCTGAGGAGGAATGCTATAAATGGTTGTCTGTTACCATCCAGACCTGAAGAAAAATGAAGCAATAACATACCTGAGGTGATCGAAGGTGAAGCGGCACAAGCCCAGAGGGGGTATCAGCTAATACGTTGAAATGAGGAGTAGGAGGAGGTCCCATTGCCATGGGTCGACTTTCAGGATCCACTTGGTAATTAACGAGCCCCCATTGCTCTAAAAAGGCATGAACCCTAAGGAATAAAGTTTTGAAAGTTAAAATCTAAAGAATTATCTCATGTCCTCCACAATCATCACCACATTACATTAAAAAAACAAAAACAAAGGTAAACATACTCCCTGTAGGCGGTAAGCTACCACAAAGTACCTGACAATTTTCGTTTTATTGTATGAGGGGCATATTCTACAAATTCAACATAATGTTCCCAATACAGCACCTCAAAACCCGGTAATAAAGCCTAATAGTTTCAATCACAGAAATGAAAGCACAAAAGCTCATTTACATCCATGGTGAAAGCACGCACAAATGAACCACATTTGCAGAAGGAGATCCACATTTTGGTTTTTTTCTTTAGACAAATCTAGGGCACAGAGCTCATCTACCCCGTCTCAACCCACCCTTTATCCTTGGTCATTTTATAAGGTGGCTATAAAATAAAAGATGTAAACAGAAAAATCTAAAAGAGAGGAGAAAGTGCTAAGGGATTCAAATTATTCAACCCCTGAAGGAAAGACGTAAGATTTAGGTGTTTGATTAAAGTGGATGCTTTCTTGACTAATAAATCAAACATGAGATGGCAATGCATCAGTAACTACCTGCAGTGAAATGTCTAAGAAATGAGACACTTTACCTCATCACAGCACATACATCTCCGGTCAAGTTCCTCCGACAAGCAGTGCTGGTTAAATACTCTTGGGGATTCAGACGATAGGTATCAATCATAAAATTTCGATATGCCAGGTATCTAAAAGGCAATGAATGGCAAAATTCATGAAGTAGACATAATGTCCTTTCAGAAACAATAATTCATATAGCCAAATGTCTTCAGATTCTTCAAAACCAAATACAACAAAAAATTAAGATAACAATCCAACAAAGAGCAGTGATATTGTACTGCGTATTTATAAGCATGAGCAAAACTCAGGGTAAAAACCTAAATGTGGAAAAAAAAAAAAACCTGTTTACTATTGTTTTACAACAAGTAAAATAAGAGTAATCTGATGAAGTTTAATGTGAAATAATATAAGCAAAAACTTGATCGCGGAGGATCAGTCCTTAGTTGCCTGCAGAATTTGCAACTAACACATACTTAGCCTGTCTCCATAACTATCACATATGTAATATTTATTGTGTGCCAGGCACTCTTCTAAGCACTTCCCATGAAGTAGTTCATTTAATCCTCAGAAATTCCCCTATAAGGTAGGGTATATTATTATTCCATTTACACATGAGGAAAATGAAGCAGAGTGGTTAAAGATTTTGCCAAGACCACAGGCAGCTCTGGAATCCATACTCTCAACCTCTGCTCCATTTCATTTCTATACTCTTCCAAGAGACACACATGATTTGGCTCTGATGATGGCTGTACGCCTACTGGCTGGCAGCTTTTTCAAGAGGCTCCCAGGTGGGCAACGAGTAGAACTCATGAAGCTGAACTCATCCATAAAACAAGGATGCATAAAAAAGTAGATAAAATGTGAGACTGAGTTACAGGAGATTCCACGACGTACCCAAGCATTTCTGCCACAAAATACTTAAAACAAGAATGTTAAGGAGCTTGAAACCTAGGAACAGTTCTTGGCACACAAGTTAAACATAAATTTGGCAGTTTAAGATCAGCTCCAATAGAGAAGAAAAAGTACACTGCTCATAAAGGCCCATGTATAAGCACAGGTACATAAAGAAGACAAAAAGGTATGTTTACAAAGTAAAATGACCTAAAATGCTACATCGTGTTTTTAAACAGAAGACTGTGATAGAACTGTAAGTATTTCCAAATGTTTCCAATGGGCAAATCGGCTGGAAGAACACATCAGTGTCTGAACAGGTGGAAAAAATATCAGGGCTTCTTATGCCAAATCTCTGATTCCGGTTTTAAATGGCTCATTATAGCTTTGTTATGGGAAGGCTGGATTTATCTTTGACATTTAAACTTAGCATCTCAAGCTACCATGCACAAACTACCACCAGAAAATATTATTCAATTACCTGCTTTACACTATGTGTTTTATGTGGACAATTACAGAAGTTAGCCTTTGCCTAACACTTTAAACAAGAGACGTCTATTTATGCAGTCACAGGTCTATAACAGACAGTAGATTAATACTATGAAGATAATATTTGAAAAGGTCTTTATAGTACGATAGATGTGGATTCATTTTAGAGGCAATGGTTTCTAGAAGTGTATATTCACAGTGTATATTAACAGGGTCACCAGGGAGAAGAGCCTTGGCAAAAATACTTCCTAGCAAACTTTCTCCTTCCAAATACTGTTTTTCTATTTCTAATGCAAGCAAAACAATGCATTCTGCAGTTAAGATCGATTTATTCGCAGCTATGTCATCATGTCTAGTCATTAACCAGGATGACAAGATAAAGATTACATCTTCTCCTGGATTTTCATACATAAAATTATATAATCCATAACACATATACACAGAAAAGTTGGAAGGACTTAGGAGAAACCTGAACTCATTTTAGTGTATACCCGTTACTGAATTCAATTTTAATTGCAATAGCTAGCATACACACAGTTCAAGGTTTATGAAGAAGAAAACAGAAGCAATTTCCTTTAAAGCAAGGAAGGCTGTGCAGCTGAGATGTGAACACTGTTCTGAACAGAATAAGATACTGTAAATTTTCAAGAATCGGTAACAGTTAACTCAAAAGTGCACTTAAGGGCCCCCACCACACCCACACCCACACAATTTTTCTGAACACTGGTCTCACTAAAGTATGTAATGGTATTACAATTACATCTTTACAGTTCACTCACATTTCTGGAGTCTTGGATTTGTTTTTTCCATTGAAAAACTCAGGAAGAGCACGCCGTTCAATCACATGAATACTGACGAAAAAAGAGGATGGGCAGTCTTCATGAAAAAGAGTATCTTAAGATTTGAACTGAGCTTCTTTAATTTTCAAAGTAAAACTGATAAATCAAAAAACTGAACACTGTCAAAACTAATTGGCTTGCACAAATTCCTATGTATTAACAGCCTATAATGAAAGTTAAAGGAACTGAGCTTTCCCTTTCGCACCCCCAGTAGTTATCAGAAGTTACCTACCCCCATAACAAAACTGTATTACTTTACTGTCATACTGCTCATGACAAGATGATGAGCCACAGGATATGAAGAGTTCTTTGGATCTTGGCTGACAAAAATCAAAGTAGGACGGCATGGCAACAAACTGATGAAATAAAGAATAACCAGCCAAAAGACAACAGAATTTACAATAATCAGTTTCTCAGGATCGTACCATCAACGTGCCTTTCACCGGCCCTTACTTTGTAGTAAAATTTTTAAAAGTGATCTACTGCTTTTATTAAGCTTATATTGCTCATTTTCAACATTTAGGAAAAAACAATAGTAATTCTGTAAAATGTTATTAATCGTAAGATACATATTATATATTTGTTAGATTATTTTTTTAGAATATATTTTATTCTAGATCCATTTTTTAAAATCATATCTATCCTTAAAGAATGATAATGCATAATCACTGAGAGCAGGCAAAGATCCAAGAAAGAACCCTAAAATTTTAAGTAATGGCAATGTCACTAGAAGTATACAAGCCTTCAATAAAATTACTTTAGAGAAGCTAACATTTACTTGGAGGGGTTAAGTTCTGGTACAGACATTTAAAACTCAAAAACAGGCAAAAATCAGCTAACTGGGAAAGAGACCTCTTAAACAACTGACAAATAAGATACCTAGGACTCCAGCTATTCACAACCATGCTCCTCAGGTACGACAGGGGTTGCTGTACAGCAGAGGGAGGATATTGAGGAGATGTGTTTTCTTGAACTCTTTCTCCATATCACACTTTAAATCTGAAAGGTATCCTAATGCTAAAATGTTTCCCATTAAAATGTGGCTATTTATGAGTAGTGAGATCTATTTTTTCTATATATATTTCTTTAATGCTTTAAAATCATATAATGAACATCAATTTTCATAACTATTAAATCACTCAAGCATTCTGTCTGAATTATAACTGATACAAAATGAGTTAGAGTCAAGCGTATAAAAATTTACAACCCTAAGTTACTACACAATCTAGCTTCCAACCCTAGATTATTTTGAAGAACATATCCAAAAATAAAAATCACTGAGAATCACCCTTTTTTTCAGTGCCACAGTGGTTACTGATGTAGGGACTTGGGCAGAAAGGCAGAATGTGCTGTCAAGGAAAGTTTTCCCACTCCTAAGTACTGTGTTTACACATGGGAATGGACCACTCACCAGTTATAATCAAACCATGATGCATAGCTGGGAATAATAATGTGATTGGTCTGCTCTGTTACATTATCTTCACCAGGGTCAACTGACCGACTCTGATCACCTTTACTAGGATCTTCATCTTCCTATAGAAAAGAAACTTAAGTTCAGAGAAAGAGAACTACAGAGATCCATAATAGCTCTGACGTTTATCTCATTTGCGGAGGTTTTGCAAATGCATCCCAAGCGTCCCCGCGATGTCCTTTATAGATTTCTCTACCCAATCCAGAACGTGATCAAGGACTGCACACTACAGATGTTCTCTGTGTCTCTTTAGTTTCCTTTAATCCTTGTCACCTTTTGGGAGGGGGGTATTTATGACGTCGTAATTTTTGAAGAATTTAGACAAGCTGTCTTCTAGAATATCCAACAATTTATTTCTCTGATTAATACTTCATAATTAACATCAGGTTAAATATAAGTTTATTGACATTCAGATGCTTTTCAATTCTGTACAGTTAAATCTAGCAACTTTTAATCTGTAATGTTTTTACTGTTTTTAATCTTATGAAATTGTTATCTATTAAGAAATCAGGCAAATTTTATATTATTGATTATAATTGTTCGATAGTTTAATTTTCTACCTTTCACCTAATTCAAACTCAATTTCCTGTGCTGTTATTTGAGGTGAGGATGTATTTCTTCTGCTTAGAAACTTAAGACAGTGGTTTCCTTTCCTTAAGATTGATGAATACATAAAAAATTTAAAGAATGAAGGCACCAAGGACCTCTACTTGTTACTAAAATGATGTTGAAAACAAATGCGGTAATACTGATAACAAAAATAACAAATTTTATTTCTCAAATCAGAGAAGCTACCAAAAAGTATGTTCAATGTTAATATATTTTTGTTTGGTTTTGTCAATGTATTTCTTCTTTTCGGGGGGGATTCTCCATCTCATTCTTTTATTGCTTTATTCGGACATCGTTCCTTTCAACAAATATTCATAAGCATTTTCTCTGTGTCATATACTAGGTTCCTGCATTGTTGCAGTCTGGGTGGACTCTCTCTTCTTAAATCACAAAAAATTAGAAGAAAATACAGTCACTCTTCATTTGTCATAGAGCCTGTGGTACTGTCTTTTGTACATTTATTTCTTCTCTAGCGACGGTTATCTTGTGGTGGTTAAGCAGGTGTGCTCCAGATCCAGATAGCCTGGGTTCAGATCACAGCTCTAGCACTAACTAGATCTTCAATCTCAGACAAATTACTTTAAACTTTCCCTGCATCCATTCGTCATCTGTAAAATGGGAAGAACAACAGTGCCTGTCTTATAGTTTGAGTAACACTGGTGGCACAGTGGTTAAAGTGCTCAGCTGTTAATTGAAAGTTAGGTGATTCAAACCCACCAGCTGTTCCACAGGAGAAAGATGTGGCAGTCTGCTTCCATAAAGATTTACAGTCTTGGAAACCCTATGGGGCATTTCTGTCCTACAAGGTTGCCGTAAGTCGAAATCAACCCAACGGCAATGGATCTTGGTTTTGTAATTTGTTGTAAGGTTTAGTGATTTAATAGATGTGAATCACTCCGAATGTTATCCAGAGTTATCTTTAAGCATAGTAAGGATAATCTACTATTAATTCTAGGCTTTGCCTTCTACCACTTTAGAAGCAAACCGGTAGACAATGGTAGCAGATGGCTATGAGCATGCTTTTTGGGAGCCAGATGTCCCACATTTTAACTTTAATACCACAATTCAATAGCTTTGTCAACTGCTATCTACAAAATATTAATAATGTTATCTTTCCTCTTAAGCAGATAAGGAAACTGAAGCTCAAAGAAGTTAAATAACTCACATAGGACACACAGAGCTCTTTTTTTCAGATGCTGGGACCCTGTTTAATTTTATGTGTGTCACCATATAATAATAAAAAAGTCACTAATTCTAGGTTCTAGAATTAGTTCTATTGCTAGAATTTCTGTCGATCCATTTCTGAGGTATAGTTTTCACAAATTCAATTAGGACAGAAGATTTCCTTTATTCAGGAAAACGGAGGGGGGGGTTGCGGGGGCTGGCACTGCAATTAACGAAGGTAAACTGCCTTAAGTTTTAGTCATCACAATGGGGAAACAACCAGCAAAACAACACTGTGGGAGAGGGTGTAGAGTCAAATACTTCTAACCCTTTGAAGTTCAATTACATAACAGACTTGCTCGTGGCTTCAAAACTCCTCCTGCCCTTAAGTGTAAAAAAAATCTTAGATGTAAATTCTATTGACTTTTTATTTTGGTCTCTTTTGCGACCACACAATACTATTTACTCTAATGATGTCATTTTACAAATGTAATGTTCTTTTATGTCTATAAAGAGCTCCTTGACTAAAGAAGCATGACTTTTAAAGAAAGAAAATCATAAGAACAATTTAGTTAAGAACTATATGTCTGACAGTTTACTGAAATATTTTTGTTGGAAATCCTGTCATAAATATGCTCATTTCTTTAATGTATGAAAAATGTTAACTTAAAGCATATCTTTAACTTAACATTAAAAAAAAAAAAAAACCAGAATTGACCATTTTCACCAAATAAGGAAGTTATTTTAAGAACACATTAGGGATTAATTATACTTAGCAACTGTCAAAAATGACAGCCTGAAGGATAAAATGGGACATTCATTAAAAATAGAAGTAAAATTCTGCCTTGAAAAACACGTGCCAAGAGCATAATTATTGGTGTCTCTATAGGAGAACTGTGAAAAAGGAAGTGGCTGACTGTAAGACTCCAGAAAGGGAAAAGGCATGCTGTGAATGCTACATGGGCTGTCAATTAAGGCTGCACAATAGAAATGGAGTGGGAAAATCGAGGCAAGGCATTACGCCAGCTCTTCTGCACTGCTGGCACACACCTGGAACGCTGTGGTCAGTTCTGCTTACTACTTAGCAGCTAAGGGAGAAACCGTAAAAACGGCACATGATAAACACTGCCTAGGAGATGGAGAACGTCCTCTCGATAAAATTTGGTGAGCCAAGGAAGACTACTATCGTGGCAGAGTGTTAAAAAGGAAATTCAAAAACTGGGGCCTCAGAACAGAAGATGTCTAAAGACACTTCCGATTCAGTCTTGCCACTACTTAAAACACAGGACACACAGCGTGATTGCTGCACCAGACCTAACTAAATTGTTACCTTTCCTCCTGTCGTGACGGTTTCTTCATCCTGTTCATCTGTAAAAATAAAATGCAAGATTTTTTAAAAGACAGGTAAATGTTGTTTGGATGACTGGGAAATGCTAAGACAAAGAAAAGAAATGAAACAGAAATTATTCAAGCAAAATCACCCTAATAATTCAGTAAATTATGATTTTACACAGAAACACAGAGGTGAGTAGAAATCCAAAGCACAGATAATTAAAAATTTCCAACAACAGGGAATTTAATTAATTACTGCTTGGGCTAATATCTTAGTCATGATCTTGTTTAATAAAAGGTAACAGACTTGATTAGGACTCTTGCCTCCTGAAGTTTGGTCAAGCAAAGCCATGACATTTTGGATCCCAGTAGGAGTGAGTGAAGAGTAAAGAGAGAGACAATAATCAATCCCTACAGACAAAGCTCAGGGAAAAGTGTTAATAATGTCTTTGGAGGATGGGGGACTCCCAGACCTAAAACCTGGCCTTGCAAAAGAACAGGAGCAAATCCAAGTGCAACTTAAACTAGGAAGGTGATTTCCACTATGAAAAGCAAAAGTTGCCAACATGGAAAGGATAAGAAGTTACAGCCCAAATAATTACATTAGTAAGTGCCTGTAATGCATTATTTTCTTATATTATCACCCTTAGCAGTGACAAGACACTATGAAGCTCAAAAAGAACAAGGGAAAGTTACTGACTGATTCAACACATATCTCTGAAAACCTGCTACGTAAAAAGCACTAAACAAGCGGGTTAGACCAGGGGTCAGAAATTTACTGCCTGTTTTTGTTGTGCAAAAAGGAGTTAACATAGCAGGCCTGAGACTTCAACCCTTATCATCCATAAAAATTAACTCAAAATATATGAAAACCTAAATCCATAAAACTTTGAGAAGAAAGGGGAGTAGAAAACCTATGACCTTGGAACACAATAGGGTTTCTTACTACACAAAAAGCACAAACCACAGAAAATCAACAAACTGGACTTCATCAAATTAAAAACTTTTGCTCTTGAAGACATACTGTAAAGAAAACAAAAAGTCAAGCCACAAACATAGGAGGAAATATTTGCAACATATATATCATAAAGAACTTGTATCCAAAATGAACAAAGAACAACTCTGCAGAAAATCAATACAGCAGGCTCAAGATTATTCTCGGTAAGACACGCTTGCAAGACTGGCCCTTGCCTGGCATCTGGCAATTTGAGTCTCAGACTGGACCTATCAACAGTTAACTAAGGATGGTTCACTGAGCCTAGACTGTTGTACAAACAATATGATTTACCATGAACACCTGTTTTCCTCCTGGGAGTCAGGAATTTTGATACCTTCTAAGCAGAAGGCACGTCCAATGAAAACCTTAGGCACAGAGTCTATAAAGGGATTCCCTGGGCAGAAACATAGTGCGCATGCTGCCACATTTTCCTTGCTGGGCAAACAGTGAACTCTGTGTGACCCCCCATGTGAGGAAAGGAGAGAACATAAGGAAAACAGCATATGGACTGCTCCCAGACTCTGCATATGTCTTTTTCTCCTATGATCTGGCTGTGCATCCTTACTAAGCAACTGCAATAAACATCAGCAGTGAGTACAACTGTATGCTGAGACCTGTGAGTCCTTCCAGAGGTCTCCAAACCTGGGGATGGTTTAGGGACCTCCAATGTACCCTCAAGCTAAGAATGGCTTTTACAACTTTTAAATGGCTAAAAGAAACTGTAGAATATTTCATGACATGTGTAGATTAACTGAAATTCAAATTAAAATATATATGTAATGTTTTACTAGAATAAAGCCATGTTTGTCTACATGCTGTCGACTGCTACTTTTGTGCTATAACACAAAGCTTATAAGTTGTGACAGAGATTATATGGCCCACAGAACCTAACATATTTCCTAGCTGGACCTTTACAGAAAAGGTTTGCTAACTCCTACTTCAGAGGATATAAAACGAAGAGTTGTTCTCAATAAAATAGGTATAGAAGGGAAATTTCTCAACATAGTAAAGGTCATCTATGCAAAATCAACAGCCAACATCATTCTTAACGGAGAGAGGCTGAAAACATTCCCCTTGGGAAAAGGAACAAGACGAGGATGCCCTTTATCACCATTCCTATTTAACACTGTTCTTGACGTTCTACAAAGAGCAATAACGCAAGAAAAAGAAATAAAAGGCATCCAAATTGGTAATGAAGAAGTTAAACTATCCCTGTTTGCGGATGATATGATACTATACATAGAAAACCCTGAACACTCCACAAGAAAACTACTGGAACTAATAGACGCAGCAGAGTAGAAGAATACAAGACATACATACAAAAATCAATTGAATTCCTATACACCAATAAAGAGAACGATGAAAAGAAGATCAGGAAAACAATTCTATTTACAATAGCCCCTAAAAAAATAAAATACTTAGGAATAAATCTAACTAGGGATGCAAAAGACCTATACAAGGAAAACTACAGAACACTACTGCAACAAAAGAGATCTACATAAATGGAAAAACATACCATGCTTACGGACAGGTAGACTCAACATTGTGAAAACGATAATTCTACCCAAAGCAATCTACAAATACAATGCAATCCTGATCCAAATACCAACAACATTCTTTAAAGAGATGGAAAAAACAATAATTAACTTTATATGGAAAGGGAAGAGGCCCAGGATAACTAAAGCACTATTGAAGAAGAAGAAGAAAGTAGGAGGACTCCCACTACCCCACCTCAGAACCTACTATATAGCTACGGTAGTCAAAACAGCCTGGTACTGATACAATGACAGATACATTGACCAATGCAACAGAACTGAGAACCCAGATGTAAATCCATCCACCTAGAGTTACCTGATCTTCGACGAGGGCCCAAAGTCCATCAAATGGGGAACAGAGAGTCTTTTTAAAAATGGTGCTGGCAAAACTGGATAACCATCTTCAAAAAAATGAAACAGGACCGCCCATACCTCACACCATATACAAAAATTAATTCAAAATGGATCAAAGACCTAAATATAAAGCCAGAAACTATAAAGTTCATACAAGAAAAAATAGGATCAACGCTAAATGCTCTAATACATGGCATTAACAGGATACAAACTGTAACCAACAACACAAAAACTCCAGAAGATAAGCTAGATAACTAGGATCTTCTAAAAATTAAACACTTATGCTCATCAAAACAGTTCACCAGAAGACAAAAAGAGAACCTCCAGACTGGGAAAAAATTGGGGGCCATTACAAATCAGACAAAGGTCTAATCTCCATAATCTACAAGAAAATCCAACACCCCTACAACAAAAAGACAAATAATCCAATCAAAAAATGGGCAAAGGATCAGGGGACATCTAGGTCAATTGGCATAACAAAGCTTATTAAGAAAATGTTCTGCATCCTACTTTGGTGAGTGGCATCCGAGGTCTTAAAAGCTAGCGACCAGCCATCTAAGATGCATCAATTGGTCCCAACCCACTTGGAGTAAAGCAGAATGAAGAACACCAAAGTCACAGGAAAGCATTAGCCTAAGAGACAGAAATGGCCACATAAACCAGAGATTCCATCAGCCAGAGACCAGAAGAACTAGATGGTGCCCAGCTACCACCAATGACTGCCCTGACAGGGAACACAACAGAGTCCCTGATGGAGCAGGATAAAAGTGGAGTGCAGAACTCAAATTCTAATAAAAAGATCAGACTTAATGGTTTGACTGAGACTGGAGGGACCCTGGAAGACACGGCCCCCAGACTCTCTGTTAGCCCAAAACTAAAATCATTCCCAAGGCCAACTCTTCAGACAAAGATTAGACTGGACTACGGGACATAAAATGATACTTGTAAAGAGTGTGCTTCTTAGCTCAAGTAGATACATGAGACTAAATGGGCAGCTCCTGTCCAGAGGCAAGATGAGACGGCAGAGAGGGTCAGGAGCTGGTTGAATGGACACAGGAAATCCAGGGTGGAAAGGAGGAGTATGCTGTCACAGTGTAGGGAGAGCAACTAGGGTCACATAACAATGTAAGTAAACTTTCACTTAAAGCACAATTTAAAAAAAAAAAAAGGGCAAAGGGATTGAACTGACACTTCACCAAAGAAGACATTCAAGCAGCCAACAGATACATGAGGAAATGCTTATAATCACCAGCCATTACAGAAATGGAAATCAAAAGCACAATGAGACACCATCTCACCCTGGCATTACTAACACCAATCAAAAAAACTGGAAATAACAAATCTTGGAGAGGATGCGGGGAGATCGGAACTCTTATGTACTGCTGGTGGGAATGCAAAATGATACAATCATTTCGGAAAATGATATAGCACTTCCTTAGAAAGCTAGAAATAGAAATACCATATGATCTAGCAATCCCACTCCTAGGAATACATCTAGGAAATAAGAACCATCACACAAATAGACATATGCACACCCATGTTCACTGAAGCATTGTTCACAACAGCAAAAAGATGGAAACAACCTAGATGCCCATCAACAGATGAATGGATAAACAGACCATGGTACATACACACAATGAAGTATTACGCAACGATAAGGGACAATGATAAATCTGCGAAGCATCTCGTAACATGAATGAATCCAGAGGGTATTATGCTGAGTGAAATAAGTTGATCACAGAAGGCCAGATACTGTATGAGACCACTACTGTAAAAACTCACGAAAAGGTTTACACACAAAAAGAAACAATCTTTCTTGGTTACGAGGGAGGGGAGTGAAGGGGTGGGATGGGGGGACACTAAATAGACAAGTGGTAACTTTGGTGAAGGGTAAGACAGTACACAACACTGGGGAAGCCAGCAAAACTTGTACAAGGAAAGGTCATGGAAGCTCCATAGACACATCCAAACTCCCTGAAGGACTGAACTGCTGGGCGGAGGGCTGTGGGGACCATGGTCTCAGGGAACATCTAGCTCAATTAGCATAACATAGTTTATAAAGAAAATGTTCTACATTCTACCTTG